TTACCTTGGGGGGAGGGGAGGCACCTGGCTTGGGTAGAACATGCTTTGTTAGAATTAGATTTTTTAAAAATATACTTTATTGATTTTTTACAGAGAGGAAAGGAGAGGGATAGAGAGTTAGAAACATCGATGAGAGAGAAACATCGGTCAGCTGCCTCCTGCACACTCCCCACCGGGGTTGTGCCCGCAACCAAGGTACATGCCCTTGACCGGAATCGAACCCGGGACCCTTGAGTCCGCAGGCCAACGCTCTATCCACTGAGCCAAACCAGTCAGGGCCTAATTCTGTTGTTTTTGTGTGATAATTAAAGAGACGTGATGTTACGGAGGTGAGGGTATTGGTCCATTTTTCTGTGTCTGTGCCCTCTGTCCTAGTGAAATACTCTGGGTACCTGGAGCACATGGACAAGCCTTTTGATTCGAATTGCTTTAGGAAAACGCCCCGACTCATGAAGCTGGGAGTGGGTAAGTTCACAGTAGGAGCTGGAAAAGGAGGAGTGTTTCGGGGGCATTGATGAGGGACAGCGCGCTAGGCCTGGGAAACTGTCCCGGGCACAGGTTCTTTGGGTCGGTTTGTGGAGGCTGGGTTTTTGCTAAACCAGCCAGCTCTCGCCTACGTTTCCCCTTGAGACCTAGGTATTAGGGAAATGTCCTACCTGGCAAGGTTATCTTTGCATCCTGACCTAACCATTGGGCATTGTGTTCTTGTTTGTTTAAACATCTGTTGAATGCTTACTACCCACAATGCACGCTGAAAAGAGAGGATGTACCCAGGTGATTAGAACACGGGAGCTGGTGTGGTGGTGGAGATTGACTCGTGTTCAGACAACTAACCTGGTAGAATCGTTTAAGTTCCTGGGAGGGATTCCCACTGCTGCAGGAGCCCTTAATGAAGGCATCGTTAGTTCCAGCTGGGAAGATCAGGGAGGGTGTCCTGGAAGAGGCGGCATTGGAAATGAGCCCTGAAGTTTGAATAAGATTTCAATCAGGCCAGACGCTGGGCATGGGGAGGAAGATGTTGCAAGAAGAAAGGACTGTGTGAACAAAGATGTAGGGGCCAGAATGCTGCAGAGCCTAAAGAAGTTAGAGTTGAAAGGGTGGTGGTAATGGGGAATAGGCTGAAAAGTGAATTGGGGCCACAGTGCAGAAAGAGATTTGGACGTAAGGAGGAAAGAAATTGATAGCACTGGAACAGGGTACTGGGAGAACTTCAACCAAGTTCTTTGTCCCTTCTTCCAGATATTACCCTTTGGGGCATGGAGCTGGGCCTTCTGACCATGCGGAGGGGAGAGCTGGCCAGGTTTCTATTCAAACCGCCCTATGCCTACGGAACACTGGGCTGCCCGCCCTTGATCCCCCCCAACTCCACTGTCTTATTTGAGATTGAGCTAATTGACTTCCTGGATTCTGCTGAATCAGACAAGTTTTGTGCCCTGACCGCCGTAAGTTCTGGAGTACAGATGTCACACTTCATAGAGAGAGGGTTGGGTTTGTGTTTTTGGTAATTATCATGCCACGCTGATGCTCCTCTGGCCCAGGTTCCACCCCTGAGGCTCCTGGGTGGTGGCGGTGGCGGTGGTGTTCCCCCACTTCCTCCTCTGTCCTTAATGTTGGCCCTTAGATGTGGGTCACTGTGCTAGGTCAAGGCCAGGCTGTGGGTTTGTTATGGACCAGCAGTGTGAGTTGATTTTTCAGTCAGTCACCTTTGCCTACTTCTCTCTGCAAGATAGTGGGCATTTGCTTCTCAACATTAAGGTTGGTTTCCAGCAAGTGAAGCCTTGGTAGTTCATAAGTAGTGTGACCATCTAATTTGTTGTCCAAGCCAGGACACTTGAGAGTGAAATGGGCTATTAAGTGGATAGGATACCAGGACATCAGGTGTAAATGGGATAATCCCGGGAAACGTGGGACATATGGACTCTGTTCTCATAATTTAAGTGTTGCCATTTCTTTGTTGCCTTAACCCTTCCTATAAAGGTAGGGCTTCAAATCTCGTTAGTAGTTAGAGGCACACTTTGTCATTCTATCTCACTCTGACTGTATATGTGATCTTAGATGTCCACCCTAGATTTACATCTGTATCTGATGTCTCCCCAGCTAAACTGTCAGCACCCCAAGTGAGGAATCTTACCTTTTTTCATCTTTACACATAACAGGTCCTTACAGATGCCTGGGTCCCACTTCTAGTATACTGATTTAGAATCTCTTGGGTGGGGGAGGCGGGGACAAGACATCTGCCTTTAAAAAGAGGCACTATGGATGATTTTGATACGTACCCAAGGTAGTGCATTGTGGCTATAGAGACCAGTACGGCCATGGGCAGACCAAGACCTGTTAAATTTTGGTTGATAAATAGTTCTGATTTCTGTGCTTGACAAGTTCCATCAGTTTCTAATTCCATGAAAACTGCTGCTTTATGGAATATCTCTGGGAGGACTATAGAAGGTCTCCTTTTGGCTCTAGCTGTGAAGTGGGGGCGGTGATAACACCGAACTGCTGTGGCTTCTATTGGAATTCACACAGATGACCTGGGCAGAGGCACCTAGCCCAATGCTTGGCACACATACGGCAATAAACAAAAGTCCATAATCTGAAGAAGAAAAATGGAACAGGTGTAATTATACTGACATTGTGGCATCGTAGCTTTCAGTTTTCTTGTTGGGTGTCCTTATCTTTGGTCCTCAGGAGCAACAAGATCAATTTCCACTTCAGAAAGTCCTAAAAGTGGCAGCTACTGAACGGGAGTTTGGCAACTACCTTTTCCGCCAAAATCGTTTCTATGATGCCAAAGTGAGATATAAACGGGTAAGAATGCTTAAGAAGTGTGTTTAGATCCTGAAATTTTTCTTGTTTAAAAGACATAGATGTTGTCTCTTTAAGAAAAATGTCAGTAAATCTCATTAACCTTCTCATACTAGATAGCTGGGAAAGGGGACAAGGTATTTGGGGGAAGCCTGGTGTTCTGTGTCTGCTACTAAATGCTGACTACATAGGTGTGTTCAGATTGTGAAAATTCATGAGCTGTACTTATTTTTGTACTTACCTATGTGTGTGTATGCATTTCAGTAAAAAGTTAATTATCTGTTTACTAGAGGCCCAGTTCACGAATTCATGCACAGGTGGGGTTCCTAGGCCTGGCCAGGGATTGGGGCCAGCCACCTGGGGGAAGGGGATGGGGTGGGGGGATGAGAAACCACGGGAGGTTGGCTGTGGGAGCACACTGACCACCAGGGGGCAGCTCCTACATTGAGCGTCTGCCCCCTGGTGGTCAGTGTGCGTCATAGCAACTGGCCGACTGGTCGATTTACCAGTCATAAGGGTCGCTTAGGCTTTTATATATATAGACTAGAGGCCTGATGCACGAAATTCATGCAAGAGTAGGCCCTCGCTGCCCCGGCCGCCTTGGCCCTCACAACCCCGGCTTCCTCTGGAAGGTCATCTAGATGGTCGTCTGGATGGTCGTCCTGCTGTTCAGCCATTCGGTCGATTTACATATTATGCTTTTATTGAGCTTTGAGGTGGATTCTTCCCCAAAGCTTCCCTCCGGCTGATGCCTGGATTTGATTCCAATGATGTCAGACCTCTCACCTACGGAAATGAGAGAGGATAAACAGGCGTTGCTTAAACAGCGAGGTTCGTGGCCATCTGTTATGACAATGATGGACAGCGAATATTGATGCCAAAAGAAAAGTGTTTAAAGGTCAGAGAGGTCAACTTCATCAAATGCAGTCAAGAGGCGCCTGATGGATTTCAGTCTTCTGTAACGGAGCAGGGAAAGGTAGGTTGAACAGAAAATGGGGGGTGAGGAGGTAGAGACGGAGAAGTTAAAAAGGCCTTTGCAGCCACTCTTTTGAGAAGTTTTTCTGGGAAGAGCAGCCGGAGGCCGATGTGGGACAAAAGGGGGCTTGTTCCTTTTGTGGTAGGAGATTTTCCTGCACGTAAGAAGGAAATGATCCCGGACCGATGCAGGAGGGAGCGGGTAACTGAAGCGCATGAGGAGACACGAGCGGGAGGGCCCAGCTGGGACCCAGGACTGTTCTCCCTTTGCACCAAGTGCAGCACGGATTTTGTAGATTTGCTGATGGAAAAGTGGGGAGCATCCGCTTGTCTTCTCAGGAACTGGGCAGTTTGACTCTAAAGCCCTGTCGCGGCCTGAATTTCTCGGAAAAACGAACGAGAAAGAAGGAAGGTGGAAATTCTGGGGCCTTGTGCTCACCAGCGTGCTCCGGCCACGTGACCCCACTGCGTGCCCCGCCCCCTCACGTGCTGTGCCACGTGCTGCATGCCCGGTCACGTGCCCGCCGG